GCTTGAATTGGTGTCACCTTCAAGGGTGGTCCCAGGCTAGGGAGTGAAAAGCTCTCCGGTTGGGTGGGGTAGGGGGAATTGGCATTCCTGGCCTCTCTACAGGTCAGGCTTAAACACCCTGACCTCAATTTTCCCTCTCCTCTGCTAATGAACCAATTCGCACGCCAATACAAAATCATCCCCAGGAGTAGAGACAAAAGGAAGAAGATGTAGTTGACCCTCTAAAAGGATGGAATGTATTGTCAGCGTTGGGCTCATGACATCACGGCTCTGCTCATCCTTAATCTCTTTTTCTCATTCTCTCTCTCTTTTTTTCTCTTGTGCTGTATGGATCGGCCACAAAATTAAACTCACATTTCTCGATTTCTTAGTTTCTGGAGGTGGGGTTGGGTAGAAGGGAGCAACCTGTCTCGTTCACAAATATGTACTCTTTCTCGCCCCTGTTTTGTATAGATCTGATCCCAAATGAAACTCACATATCTCAATTTCTTATTTGTTTTTGGAGGTGTGGCAATGTAGCTGGGTTTTGTGGCAGCGGGAGTGATCAGTCTCTTTCACATCCACATAGAATTCAGAGACATAGCCATGTTAGTTTGGAAAATCAGAATGCAAAAGGATCATGGAACATCTTTGAAACTGGAATAAAGAAGTGGGTAGCATGAGCTTTTGTAGACTTGAGCCTACTTCCTCCTACAAAAGCTCATGCTAGCAGCTTCTTTATTTTCGTCAGTCTCACAAACACATAGTCTCTCTCGCTCCTGTATTCCATAGATCTGCTCCCAAACTAAACTCACATATCTCTATTTCTTATTTTTTTGGAGATGTGGTGACATGGCTGGGTTGTGTTGGAGGGAGCAATCAGTTGTTTTCACAAACACATAGTCTGTCTCACTCCTCTATTCCATAGATCTGCCCAAAACTAAACTCACATTCCTTTATTTCTCATAATTTTGGAGGTGTGGCAATATGGTTGGCTTGTGTGGAAGGGAGTGCATAGTCTCTCTCGTTCTTGTATTTCATAGATCTGTCCCAAGACTAATTTCACATTTCTCTATTTCTTTTCTTTTCTTTCATTTTTTTTTGAGGTATGGTGATATGATCGGGTTGTGTGGATGGGAGTGACCAATCTCTTTCACAAACACACAGGCTGCATATTCACTGCAGAAATATTCCAGGTTGACCCCAGTTTAATTGCCAAGACTCAATGCTATGGAATTCTGGAAATTGTAGTTTGGTGAAACATTTAGCTTTCTCTTTCAGAAAGCTCTGGTGCCACAACAAACTACAGTTCCCAGAATTCCACAGCATTGAGCCATGGCAGTTAAAGAGGTGTCAGCTTGGGTTATTTCTGCAGTGTGGATGCAGCAATAGTCTCTCTCTTTCCTGTGTTCTGTAGATCTACCACAAATCTAAACTGATAAATTTAGACTCACATGCCTCTATTTCTTATTTTCTGGTGTGTGGGGAAGAGGCAGGATGGTGTGGAAGGGAATGACTAGTCTTTCTTTCACACACACAATCTCTCTCTCTCTCTCTCTTGTGATCATGAAGGCAGAACTAGCACACTTCTGAAGGTTCCACATCGCTGCCTCACTGTCAATTGTTAGAGATAAAGTGGTGTTATTTGTATCTGTTCTGTTTCAGTAGCTTATCAAGCTGACATCTAAAGAGGGGTTTTCTTTATTTCTTTTCTTTCATTCTTCTATTATTTTCTTTTTTAAAAAAGAGGGAGATGATTATTATCAGAAAAAAACCTGCATCCATTATAGCATCCTTCTCTCTGCATTTGAATGCAGCTCTGGCTTGAATTGCATAACCTCTTTCCTCCCCACCCCTACCTTTTTTGGGTTAATATAGATATTTCATAAAGGCAAGTGACATTTTTTTAAAGGCTGTGCTTTGTAAATTAAGCAGAATCACTGTGGGAAAAGTATGCTGAAGAAAAAAGACACAGGGAAGGTGGCCAGGTTTGTGCAAAAGGTTGATGCAAAACCCACACTAGGTCAAAGTTAGATGAGTTTTTCTTTTGCATACAAATTTGCATTGTTAAAGGTATGTGGATTTAAATAAAATCTGGACACATTCTTTTTTCTTTTCTAAGTGTGGACATTGCATAATGGTAGCGATGTGCGACCCTGTGGCATTTTGTAGAACAGCTTTCTTATACAATTACTGTCAGAGGTAACAGCAGAACAAGGATGCAGGCTAGAAATGCAATAAGTGAAGACCATTTTGATCACAGGCTAGAGATTCCACATCTTTGTGTTACTAAAAAGATATTTGCAGTCAAAAGACATGGTTATGCACAAGTGTTTCCTTAAAAGCCAGGGTCTGGAATAGAAAATAATAGAGGTCTGTAACATTGGCCACATCTTTTGCACATGCAAATGAATATGGTCATTTCTTCTTGGTCAACAGAAAGATAGCTTTTGTCTTCAGCATGTTATATCCAACCCAAAATATCACTTTTGTCAATAACAAGCAAAAAAAGTTTCTGACTTCAAGTCCAGGTCCTACCCTGTAACTGCAGCAAGTGTTTTGAAGACCATGGATTAGAACAGCCTTGGTCCTCCAGATGTTTTGGATGTGAACTTCCAGAATCTCTGGTCATTGTGCATCCTGGTTCAGTTTCTGGGAGCTAGAGTCCAAATCATCTGAGGGATCAAAGACTGAGAACCACTGAGTTGGAAGACACACACTCCAGGTCTGGATTCTGCCAGTTGGCATTCTGGTTTGGCCTTTATGGTCTTGTAATTGTTCCATAACTCACTTCACAGACACATATTTGCTTCTGAGTGAAGACTATTGCTGGACTCTTTGTTAGGGACTTCCATTTGTGTAAGTAGCCAGTGACACAATAAGCTGGTCTTTTTATCGGCTTGTGTAAGAATATAGAAACTGATAGAAGCTTTCCCTTGGGTTGCAAAATTTCCAATGGAGATCCCAGAAAGATGCACGCATATAGCTCTAACTTTTGCCCATCCATCCCAGTTCCTTCACAATCCTGGCTTTATACACTCTGCATGTATGTATGTGTGTGCTTTCTAGTCTTTCCCAACTTATGACAACCTTAAGGTGAGCCCAAGGGTTTCATGGGATTTTTCTTGGCAAGATTTGTTCAAAGAAGGCTTGTCATTGCTTTCCCCTAAGGCTGAGAGCTTGTGACTTGCTCAAGGTCACTTGAGTGGGTTTTATGGCTGAGTGGAAATTGAACCCAGGGTCTCCAGAGTTGTAGTCTAATGCTCAAACCACTATACCATGCTGGCTCTCTCATACGCCTCAATAGGACCTTGGCAATATTTAGCAGCTCTTTTCCCAAAGGCAGATTTGTCCAGTTCCACAGTTTCAAGCATGATTGACATAACTCAAATAAATGTCAACTTAGCTTCCCTGTTTTACTTCATTTGGTTTGAGTGAACAAGATAAATTGTGATAAAAATGTCCATGGAATAATCACTTCTGTAATGAAGAACACATGTGGAGGTTAGATGTTTATTAAATTGCTCCAAGAATGTCTACTTTTGAACAATGTCTCATTTTATTGTGTATTTTTGAGCTTCTCTGTGTTTCTCTTTTTCTGTCTCCCTCCTGGACCACCCACAATGATCCCAACTGAAGGGAAGGCATGTTATCCATTCAAAACTCTACATTCAAGGACTAATATCCAAGAGCCAATATCCTTTCGGAAGGTCACTTCAGGTCTACTTGCTAAGCTTCCATGTGTCTATAGATGATGCCAAAAAGACAGAGAAAATAGTAAATCTTTATAGCAATAGGCCCATGTGTGGCTATTGACTGCTGAACCAATGAGGAAACCCTCTTAGGTGCAGATGGTTTGGAAGGAGAACAGTGTCAATGGCTGCATCTACGCTGTAGAAAATTAATGCAGTGGACACCACTTTACCTGCATGGCTCCATGCTATAGAATGCTGTAGTTGTAGTTTTGTAGAATATTTAGCCTTCTTTGTCAGAGAGTTCTGGTGCCCTGACAAACTACAAATCCCAGGATCCCATAGGATAGAGACATGACTATTAAAATGATATCAATAAATGAATGGATAATATACAAAAATAAATGAATAGATAATACATGAATGGATAAAATGCAAGTCCAATAGCCAGAACAACATTCATTGTGTGTCAGCCCATTTTCAATCCTGCAGCTTCTGTGAGAGTAACAGCCTGATCCCATACTTTTTTTTACTGTATAACTTAACACAACATGTAAACTATTGATGTCACCAGAAATATTGGAAGATTCAGGAAGTGAGTGGGGAAGAAGAGGAAACAAACTGCAGCTTGAACCCAATTGTTGTTTCCAATTAAAGCAGACCCATTGAACCCCACTGGATTTGCCTATGTGTTGACTCATCATTCAACAACAGATTTAATAGGCTTATTCTAGTAGGGACTAACCAAGAGGGGTCAGACAGGCAAGCACACTATTCTTACAACATGGATACCCCTAGCCAATGAGGACAGTCATGAATCACTGTTCAGTTAAACCACTGATAATCCAGTTCTAGTTGTAATAGTGAAGGAAAGCTCACTGCTCCTTGAAGAGATCTCTGATCTCCTCTGTCCATTGAACATCTTCCCCCTCCACCCTGCATCTGTATTGAATAACTTTACACCAAAATATAATAGAGCCCTAAACCTTAATAGTGAAAGGTCTATGAAGTAATGATTTTCTCAGTTGCAGAGCACCTGTATTAACTGCCTAAAGTGGCGCCAATGGTTTACAGGTTTAACAACAGTCTATCAGGGCCCAGACAGGCTTATCAAGACCACCTGTCTGGGATGCTGTCTTATCTGATCACCCTTGACTCAGCTGTTCCAAAGATGCCTCTCCATTTACCCCCAACAAGCCATGTATCCCCTAAACAACACACTCTTTGGGCTTTTTAGGGGAAGAGTGGGCAAGGGGTGGGGGAAGAGAAGGTGGAGTGATAAATAAAGTTGAGCTGAAAGGTTTAAAATGTGCAACCAACACCACGTAGTGAGGGAGATAAGCTCTCAGACAAGTTGGGAGGCAGTGATATGCCATTCACACTTCAAGGATGCAAGAGGGTGGTGGACACAGGTTACTGGTATCACAACAGGCAACCTCGGGTTTCTCGGATGACATGGACCGATACAGTAATCATGGCTCATGGTGTCAATGTTTTAACAAGAGACAGGAAAAGAGCCATTGTCCAAACAGCAAAACGAGCCAGATCAGATTAGGTGCTGTCATTATTCCATGCAAACTAGCAGCTGGGGAGAAAAGTTCTCTGTGTGTGATACTGGCAGAGATGGGAGATTGCAAGCATGCATACACAGGGGTAGCCATGCAGATTGTATCCTGTAATATCTCAGTACAACTTGCAGACAACATAGGTTTAGGAAGATTATTTTTGTCCTCACCATCCTTTCAGTGCTGGATTTTTTTTAAAAAAAAACTTGAAAACTTTCACAGAAGTTCATTTTTGTTTCATTTGGGTCACTGAGTTACCATGTTAGCAGAGTGGTGAATCCCAATTTTACAGAGAAAGTTTCAATCTTAGTTTTGAAAAGAACTATCCAATGATCTGAAATATGTTCTCTATGTTGTTTCTACATCTTGGATAGAGCCTTTAAAGTGTAGACTGAAATCTATCACAAATTCATCATTCAGACCTGTAATACCAATACATATTAGTATTAAAAGAGCCCTGATGACACAGTGGTTAAATGTCTGTATTGCAGCCACTCACTCACACATCATAAGGTTGTGAGTTCAATACCAGCCAGGGGCTCAGGGTCAACTCAGGAGTGCATCCTTCTGAGGTTGCTAAAATGAGTCCCCAGCTTGTTGGGGGCAATTGGCTTACACACTGTAAACTGCTTAGGGAGTGCTTATGTACACTGATAGGCGGTATAGAAATGTACTTGCTATTGCTATTATTTATTGATTAATTAAAATATTTATATCCTTCCCTATACAAAAGGATTTTGGGGTACTCTACAATAAAATAAATTCAAATAGTTTAAAATAATTTAAATTTTCAAGGAAAATTTCCAAGCTAAATGCATATTAAGCTATTTTACACTACAATATGGATTGCAAGTATGTCTCTTAAATTATGGTATAGAACAGGGATGGGCATCTGTGCGTTGACCAGGAATCAATTCTGACAGATCTCCTCCCCCTCCAAAAAGCCCAAATACCTCTGTTTTCATCAACAGTCTATCTTGAAAAAGCATCAGAAAGTGATAGCTTTTGCCTTGCTTTGTGAACAATGAACACTATAGTCTGTTGCATAAGTGCTTTCAGACAAAGGGATCTTGGCCCTCTTGTGATCAAGGCCCTCCCTGCAAATAGGACTTCTACAGTGACATAAGCCCCAGATGGGATTCTGAGGACTTGTGTTGTAATCCTGGGCAAGTAAACAGCAAGTAAATCTGCACATTTTGTGAAATTAGCTTAGCAGAGGTATGCCCAAGTTTTCAAGGGTTAGAGAAATGTTCATACCTTCTACAAAAGATGATAATTTTGCTTGGGAGCAAGCTCATCTCCCTGCAATGTGTCTCCCCTTGGGAACTATTGAAAGGAATGTTTGAGAAGCCATCAGAGTATCTTTGGTATTAAAAGTTGTTACACCAATAGCCAACAGTATCTCAGACCTTATTTGCATGGCCAATAACTAATATTACCTAAAGATATCATCAGAAAATGAACAAAGATGTCCATGAAAAAGATCAAGGCTGAAAAGGATCAAGATGAAGCATTAGCTTAGAGACTGACCCTCTCTTACAGGAACTTGGAAAAGTTACATTTGGACTATACATATCAGAATCCCCTACCAGCTCTGTAAAACTCTGGTTTCTCTCTATGTATTTTTCCAGGATTTTGGGGCATGTGGTTTACTAGCTGATCAATTGCCTAGTCATAAGCTGTGCAACTCCAGACTGAAGATGGGGAAGAGGAAGAGATAAAGATCAGTGTGATCCCAGGAAAAAACAACAAGACAAGAAATGTTATAGTGCTGAAGCAGATAATGATATCTTTCTTCCTCCTCTGAACAGTACTAAAGTAGCTGTATTTTGAACTGCACGCCCCTAGAAGGCTTTCCTTCTTTATTGCAAAAAAGTCACAGATAGTTTTTTTTTCTGTGTGTGTGGTTTCTCATATCCACGCTACACAGAGGGCCTTTTTCCTACCAAATATACCCCACAGGCGTCTTTGTATTATCACTTCAAAGGTACAGATCTCTTTTAAACATCCCTCTTTTTTGACGACTGGCAGCTCTGATCTGGAAGTTGCAATTGAGTAAAACTGAGAGATGTGATCATCTGGAGTTTTCACTTCCACCACGATTCTGAGCTATAAAAGCAGCGATTACCTTTGATATGGTTAACGATGTTACCAAGACAGCAGACATTCCAGCTGGTTAATTTAATTTCCAAGCTTGATGATATCATTTAATGGCTGGAGATTTATTTGTATATTTTTTTTCCCAAGGAAGGAAGGAAGGAAGGAAGGAAGGAAGGAAGGAAGGTAGGAATTCTAATGGCATCCATTTCCATTGGTGTGACCATTGGCTATACTAAATGTAGCTTCTTGGATGCTACCATTGATGGGAATTCAGAACAAGATCAAACTGAGAAGTTGCATAGATCAGTCCAACGGGTCCTGGCAGGTCTGAAGATGTCCCATTGCTCAAAGCCAGGGCAGAGCAGTGGGTCATTGTTGTTGTTGTTGTTGTTGTTGTTGTTGCTGTTGTTACTGTGTGCCTTCAAGTTGTTTCCAACTTATGGTTACCCCAAGGCAAACCTTTCATGCGTTTTTCCTGGAATGATTTGTCTGCTGGAGATTTTAGATCATTCACCAGCTCTCAGCCAAACCCAGATCACCAGACTGCTGTAAGATGGATATGTGTGGGGAGAAGGTGATAGGAAACCACTGCCATCATCCTGAGCTCCTTGGGGGAAGAGGTGTTTTAGGAAATCTAGTGGTGGCCAGTGACTTCCATGTCAGTGGGCTTGTGAATCTATTCTGGCTCTGAATTTCAAAGGAATTATTCAGAGTGCAGAATTCTATCCCCCAAATAGGTTCAGCACCATGGATAGCTTAAAATCCACTTTAAAATGGTTTAAAATCCAGGCTAACCCCCTGAGAAGATTCACTATCCCACCAGAATGGAAGCCATAAGCCACCCTGAGCAAAAGTTATAATCAAGTAACATTAGGAGGACTACAAACATGATTGTATTCTGTTTGGCTATTTGGAACAATTTCTTTGAAA